TGAAAATGTTATCGTGTATAGAAAATGCAAATATAAACAACCAGTGAAAATTTCATGTATCTACGGCCATTTGTTTAAAAGTTACACCAAAAACCAAATTCGATTTTGTCAAAAACCGATTTTGCGTAAAAATTCCTGTTTTTCCTTAATTTTTATGTTGTTTTTCCTGGCGCTTGTGAAAACTATTGGGAATTTTAAATTTTGACCTCCCCAATGCACCAACGATATTCACTTTCCAATCGAACAAGATACTGAAGTCGAAAATCGAAGCATTATTTCGACTACTTATCGTGTACACAGACACAAAAATAAAAAAAAAAAAAAATAAAAAAATAAAAAAATAAAAAAATAAAAAAAAAAACACACATCATTGTAAAATCAATACATTCATCGTTTCACTCAGAATCTAAAAGGTGGGCAAGTGGGTGTCGCTCTGCTGTACAGTAGGTTACAAGTGGGTCACTGTATAATGGATGGTATTAAATTTGAATTCAATGATATAATATCATTGTATAAGAAAAACGATTCTGAGCGGTGACGGTATGTCAGTCTATGTATAAGACATATTATATACATATCTATGGTATTAAACAAAAAATTGACCTATAATAGGTACCTATAATAAATTCCAAATTAATCATATCACAATATCCATTAGATACTTATAACGCGTTCTACATCAACAAAAACCGTGATACTATCATAGATATATAATAGTACACTTTAGAAGTTTCAAGTACCCACGAATAATATTATTCAATCACAACAAAATAACTAAAATAGTTATTCTAGGTTTTTTAATATGTAATTTCGTCCAAATTTGAAATTAAAATGTCTGTAAAAAATAAGTGTGTTTATATATTTTTTAGATTTTTTGGTTACAGTATGAATTTTTTAAGAGAATCTTTGTTTTAAATTTTCAACTCTTAGTTATAAAAACTGAACATTTTATAATTTTTTAATTCCAACGATTGATAATTTTCGAGATTTTGATAAATTTTGTCAAAATTCCAACTTTAAATGCTTATAAAAAAAAATCGTGCCTATGTATTTTTAATATTTTTCAACTGATATTGTAACAATATATCAGGAGCCTTGTATTAAAGTTTTACACTTTTTGGCCCAACGGATAAAACTTTATTGATATTTATAGAAAAAAAAATAAAAAAAATTTAAAGCTGTAAATGTCCATAAGCAGCTCAAAAAGAGTTAAAATATTTTCAAAATTGTATGGTGTATAGGAAATGCTAATATAAACATTCAGTGAATTTTTCATGTATCTACAGTTGTTCGTTTTTGAATTGCAACAAAATAAGGAAATCGCTACATGAGTAATCGAGTGAATATCCAATGTTGTAAAAATTTGAATTTCAAACGCTCATAAAAATTTAATTTGACTGTCCGGTAGAGATTTTTTTATTGATAAAGGCGTAGACAAACTTATGAGTAATCTTGTGTTTCATTTTCAAATCTTAGATTTAAAAAGAAAAATTTTTACGAATTCTTAACTCAAAATAATTTGCTAATTTTCGTGATTTTTCCATATTTGTCAATTTTTGAACTTTAAATCCTTATAAAAAAAATTGTGACTAAGGATTTTTAATATTTTTCATCTGCCTTTGAAACAATATATTAGGAGCCTTCTATTAAATTTTCAAGCTTTTGCAACCAACAAACAAAATTTTATTGATATTTTTAGAAAAAAAACTAAAAAAAAATGGAAAATGAAAATGTCCCTAAACAGTTCAAAATAAATCAAAATATTTTGAAAATTTTATCGTGTATAGAAAATGCAAATATAAACAACCAGTGAAAATTTCATGTATATACGTTCATTTATTTTAGAGTTACACCAATAACCAAAATCGATTTTTTGGAAAACCAATTTTGCGTAAAAATTCCCGTTTTTCCTTTTTGACCCCCAAAGTACCAACTAGATTCACTTTCCTATCAGAAAAGCTACTGATGAAGAAAATCCAAGCACTTTTACTGTCCCAAAACGTGATGACAGACACAAAAAAAAATATAAAAACATACATCATTGTAAAACCAATACATTCATCGCTTCGCTCAGAATCTAAAATTCAAAACTGTATTCTACATAGGTAAAATAATAATATAATACTGCATGTCGAAAAATAACATTGTTTGAAAACATTTCGGTTTAGGTTGGAACCATTAAATCCCCACGTATGTGTTAATATATATATATATATATTTAATTTATATTTTCTACATAATTATTGACATGAGTTGTAATATCCTAATCCGAACCAAACTTGATAAGTAGCAAATATATATTTTAAAGTTAGATCCGAATATATAGAATATAAATCAATATTAGTTATTGCTCATATCAATATTGATTATAACACGTCCTTGAATTTTAAAATAACTTTTAGTTAAACATACAATGCCAAAAACAGTGTTTAAACTTTAATATTATGTTATATTTTATAGAAAAAATAAAAACGTGTAAACCATATTAAGTAGGTATTATGAACTTTAAATATTAAATCCATACGACTATACACTCAATCATATAAATTAAATTAATTTTCAACAACAATATTTTTATAATATGGCAAACATTTTAGAGAGGGCTCTGAGGCTATCAGGGGGGATTAAGCCCCCCCAAGCCCCCCCCGGATATCCGCCAATGCTTAGCTCTGGTCTCTGGATGACATAATTCTGATTAATCGTTATAGGTACCTACTTGTTTACACACTTTGTTAATATGTTTTTGTTGTAGGTACACATGTGACATGGTTAAGTGACGTCTAGCTGAGTGATACTTCATAGCTCATCACTCATAAGTCAGTCATAACCATTATTTTGTATTAACTAAATAAACGTTTGAACTGCCGTCTTCCTTCGAGGCCAACAACATTTTATTCGCGGTCATATCCAACCGTAGTCCGTATTACCGTGTACACGTATATAATTTCTATACCAACAAATATTCCCTATAATATAATATAATTATATAAATATCAGCTCTCTTATGACCCAAAAAATGTAATGGATAATAATTATAGCGATTGATGATTTCTACGGCCTTCTAGTCCAACAGTAATAAATAATAATTATAATATTTATAATATAGGTATACCTATAAATACAAATATAAAAACTTACAAAGACGGCGAGTAAGCTATTATCTGTGCTAAGACTAAGAGCCTAACTGCCCAAGATGAATATAATTGAACACACGACTACACAATAGACACTATAGAATACAATATAAAAACATGGAAAACAACGATGTAACGATTAGCGCACACACAGTAACTATAATAGAATAATTAAAGCAAACCGTTGCAATAACTACGCGCATACTCACGTCATTATATTTATGACTTTATGTATAGGTACGGTATACCTACCTAAATAATAAAAAACAATTTAATTGGCGATTCGCGTACAATTATTTAATAACAATACAAATGGCGTTTCGTGTCCACGATATGGTAATAATCCATAATACAAATACAATTTACTAAAAAATAATAATTTACAAGTGCATACTTATCTAAAGCACTATAGAAATGAATGCGCATTTGCGATTTGGCGATTCAAACGATTGTACGATACTAACTATAGTAACTGCTATAATAATATTATATTATAGGTAATATATAATATTAGAATATAATAATAGTATATTATAATATATAATATTAGAATATAATAATAGTGTATTATAATATATATAATATTAGAAGCATAATTACAATATATTTTAAAATATACCACAAAAACAAATAATGATACAATTTGAAAAGATATGTGTTTGTGCGTGTGTTAGTGAGCTTACCGGTCGGCGATGGATATAGGTCACTGGCCCATAACCCGTTATCACTTATCATAACGGGGTTATGGATCGACGGAGTAGTGCGGAGGCAATTACCGATAAATCTCTTTATAATATTATAATAAAATAAATATATTTACAATAATATAACTTATTTTAAATATCAACAATAACTTTATAGTTATTTGCGGTGGAGACAATATTGATTTATAAATTTATAATTTAATTAAATATCTGTTTTATAAAAATTAATACCAATGAAAATCTCATTTTGAATATTTTACTAAAGATTACGCAAAGTACTGATATTATATTACTGCACTCACTCAAACTTATCACTGGTATGATGGTATCCTTATATTATATTTCATAACATTTTACTTTGGTGTACCAAAATCAATGCCTAACATAACCTACTGTTACTACTTATACAAAATCCAAAACTTCTAAATTACTACAAAAATAAAAATTGTATGTTGTAATGACTTCAAAATGTTCAAATGATGTAAATTGTTGCAAATGAATAAATTTAGCTGGAATATTTTGAGATAAAGTAATTTGTATTATTTTAATTTTTATATTTTAAAATTTATTATTATTCTATTAATGTGTTCACCCTTAGTACATTTTTGAAATGGTTGTTTACTTATTACGTATTCTTCGATAATAAATTCATAACATTTAATATAACGTTTTATGGAACATATATATTTAATAGTCAAGTTGCTATTTTGTTATTATTCAAATATATTTTATTAAATTAAATTAAATTTTTTGACTTTTGTAAATTTACTGAATTCTTTTTTTCTATATAAGTACTCAAATGGTAGAGTATACATCTTCTTAACTTTTCAATTCATAGTGGTTGTTTTGAAAAATATCGTTAGTTTTCATCGAACGAACAAGTCGATATTAGGTACTGTGTCAAACAATCGATACTTAATAAGTCGATAAGCAGTTACTGTTTTGTCGATCTTATTTACAGTACCTACCTATATAATTACGCCTACTTATATAACAAACAATAATATTTTAGACCTTCAACCTGATCAAAACGCCGCCGACACTGCTAAGTTATCAGGTACACATAATCGTCAGTCAGTTTAACGCTGTGACCACAAGCGACAAGCCGCGTTCTCCTCCGTGAAATATTTTCGTTCATCCTTTCGATTACCGACCGATGTAAATGCGAACAACAAAAATGGATTATCGTTTACAGCTGGTCATCGTGAGTATATTATATATGTTAGGCGTGAATACAAGTACATAATAATATTATGTACGGCACGTCGTATTGTCGTAATGCGATCATCCGATAAGACTAAACGAGTATATACATTAGATACATATAAGACCAAAAAAAAATGTGCGGGACACTTTTTGTTTTGTACATTTTGTTTTAGAGTGTTTGGCAATGGTTGCGAATGGCACACAAAATTATTTATTAATATATCAAAAAATATTGAGGTAGAAAATCGTTTATGATTATACTAACTTTCTTTATGAATATTATTATAAATAATCCGAATAATCGATAAACTCGCTCATGTATAATTTCAATTTTTGTCCATATTTTTATTTTTTTATAGGTACCTATACTATATAATTAAGTGTTAATATAAATTAGAGTTATGTTTGCAATTATTATGATTTTTTTAAGGCTCATGAAAAGTTGAATTTAAAATGTTAAAATTTAAAATGATTGGGAATCACTGGTTAAATGTATATTATTATATTTTTAAATATATGTCCAAGCGTCTTTTTTAGTGAATATTGTGTAACCAATATGTTTTTTCAACATAATATTGGTAGGTACATTAGATATTGTAGCACTTTAATTCGATAATTGGTATAAATATTATACCTATAGGTATTTGTATATTATGGTGTACCTATACTTATAATTATAATTGGCGTTTCACTGAATTTGTCAAATTATTTATTTTAGGTAGGTACTTATCTTGTGATCTTAATATTTAAAAAGTCAAGTGTCACTAATGGATGGCGTCTTACTCCGATTTGCATGTAAATTTTTCTATCATCACGTAATCATAAATTTATTATGCTAAAAAATAAGTACAGATAGTGAAAATAAAAAAAAAAAATTTAATTTAAAAAATTTAAAAGCCCTTATTTTTTTACATAACTTAAATAATTTATTGCCATTTATTGTTCATGCGATCATAAACTTATATGAGTACATAGTTTTCTATAAGTTAAAAACTTAAAAATTCTTAATAACTGTGAATAATTTATTTTATTTGTTGGAAAACACCCACAAATACCGCTACAATACATTTTTGAATAATTTTAAAAAATACAATATAATATTCTCAAGTTTTAGAATATTAAAATAATAGTTATAAATGTCACCAACTAACACTGTAATAATTTACAATAATCAAATTTCCAAAATATATCATATATTTTGATAATACACATTATATTCCACATACAAATCACTATAGTTAGTACAGACAATATTGAGGGAGAATAATTAAGTGAGAATATTGTGAATAAAATCTTATTTATTTCACTGCCACTGTGCCGTGCGAGTTCCATAATTTATACACGATAATAATGTATACTTATTAGATATTATAGGTATGTACAACTTTGTTTTCTTTCAAGACGTTATTGTTGGCCATGGGCTGTTGCCGTGGATTGCCGAATAACACACGTCCGTACAACATTCTGGTGTTTCTACCAACTGAGACCAAAAGTCATTTCATGGGGTTCCAACCCTTGCTGGAGACGTTAGTGACCAGGGGACACAATGTGACATTAGTCTCACCATTCGCGCTGGGTTCCGGCGGGATGGCATTGCCGTACTACACTCACGTCAAAGTGGAAGTCACGGAAAACGTGGCAGGGCGTATGTTTATTTTTATTTTTTATACGTACTCATTTAACTATAATAAATCCATACGAGCTAGCAAATATTCAAGTATCTTGTATTCGTCACCTAGAAGATATTGTAAATATCAAAATATACTAACTGTAAAACCAGCGACTTTGCCCTGGAAAAAGTGAACGAATATAAAATACAGCGCTTGTGCGCTATAAAGGCATGTATCTCGGATTTTGTGTGTCTCAGTTTAAGTGTTATTCAGTTCAAGGGTGAATCGACGTCGATATTGAAGATACTTTTAGCTTTGTGATATAATTCGACGATGTCACCTAGGGGGGTAACCGCAAGTCGCGGATTGGATTCAGCATTTATAGTATTTTTTTAACGTGTTTTAAACCATTCTTTTCTGATATCTCTGAGATTTTCGCCAAAATCAATAGAGTAGTTTTCGAGAATATAAGCTATGCAATCATATATTTGGTTTTATGCTAGGTATATAGTATCTTTATTCTTTAATCGAGACTTTATCGAGTCCACGTAAACGCGACTATTTGATTCACGCTTTTACATAATTTGCTCGAGTAATAAGTGGCAATAATTTACGTATATACCTACTACATGCTACTACCTAGAAAGAGAATACTAATTTATTTGATTACTGGGTACCTATTATAATCTGCAACCAATGACAAATAAACAACGAAAAGACCTCAACATTTACCTTGAATCTCAAAATTCTTATAGGTACCTACTGGTAATAATATATTAACCTTTTAAGTTTATATAATATAATATAGTATCTCACAAAGATTTTTAGCCCCCCTCCCTTAAGAATGTGTGTGTTTGGTATCAATTGATATAAATTGGAATTTCGAGACCTATAGGATATTTAATTAAGGTTATAAAATATATCAATGCAATTTTTAATTAATTAATTTAATCGATAACCAATATGATCACAATAGTAAAATGTATTAATATATTATTATTTATTATTATATTATTGCTAGTTAAAATAATTTTAAGAGATATATTATATACATATTCAGTATTTTCACACTAAAATAAATTGCACGTCTTATGGTACATTTTTACTTTCCATAATAATCATTAAGTTAAGGCTAATTTAAAATTTTTTAATGCAATGATAATTTTAAAATAAAATTTTATTTTATAGTAAAAATGTTTTAATTACCACTAACCCGCATGACAAAACCTTGATTATTACTTTTATAATCTACCTATATTCTATCATCATGTTATTTTAAGTTTTAACCAGTTACCTATTGTCTTATAGATTTTCTATAGTTTTCTGTATGCCGACAGCAAGTAAATCAACATAATATAAGACCAATGTCACATTGAACATTTTTTATATATTAAACCTACTGATTAGTAATATTACTATAGGTCAGCGGTCACCAATTAATATTATTAAAGTGCCAAATTAAGAAACTCAAAATTGTTTACAGGCTATCAAAATTGCCGATGTTGGTAAAAATCAATGAACAAAAATTTGAAATTTGAAATTTTTGCAACACTAGAACGTAGAATATTATCGGTTTTTAAATATTTTTTTTGTTGACGGGCCGTGTACAATTTGTTTGAGGGCTGCCCTTTAGTGAGACCTGCACTAAAGCCTATAGTACAAAACCTAAGCTGTAATCGGTGTGAATATTTCGCACAAAAATGTTAGGAAAATAAATTTAAAGTAAAACTAATATTGACTATTTTTAAGTAATTTTTTAGTAATGCTATTATAAAATATCCTTACATAATATAATAATTAAATATAAATAGTTACCTAACACTGATTCAATAATGACTCATCTGCAGAAGTATAGCAGTATTGTGATAGGACCTATGAACAAGTGTGTGTGCATTGAAATTGGAAGCGGTAATGCTCGTCTCTTTGTTACTACATAAAAAAAGTACAGAAATGCCCATAACTAACCAACTATTCTTTTTTATCTCTTTTTAATAAATGGCTGGACTCTAAGCAAAAATGTTATGCAAATCTGTATGGTAGATCTTCAGACAATATCACTGTACAAACAAATCACCTGACGTTTTAAAATATAGACATAAATACATAAATCGTACTTGTCGTCGACAAACATCTACCATGTATTATTATCATTGAATAAATGATAGACATTTAATATTGTTCACTAGGTACGCCATGTCCATAGCTGTTGTTTGATTATTTTTATTTTGTTATATTATATTATATTGATAATATAATATAACAACTACCTATCTAACACATATTATTATTTGGGCATTTTTTTACCTATCTATATCCTTAATATTATAATATACTGTAATAATGTTATTTATTTAAAACATCGTTGATTATCTTACCACTATATTATAATATTTATGTTTTGTTTTGTTCCTGTCTATTAGTTTAAAATTGAAATATTTTTAACTAGGCTTCTTCAACGATATATTTTTGAATATTGATATAGAAAAAAAAATGTAGGTATTGATGTATCGAAATATCAGGTTTTTTTAACGCATATTATATAGTATAGTTCGTCAAACATATCGATGGTATTTTGTTAAAAGGGCGTTTAGCATTGAAAATCGAAAAGTACGTTTTGGGTATTGAAATTTTCAGAAAAATCACGAACATATTCTGGAGAAACGGCGTATACATCTACGGAAAAATAAGATTCCAATACCGAATACAAGATATGCAGACGCCTTTTTAAAAATTAAATTAATCTACACAGAACTGTTGAAAGGGCTTATACTGAATGTATGCTAATTGTTTACAATCAACACCAGTTCGTAACAATAATTATGATTATTACAGTTTGTATATTACGAGATTGAACAAAGTGGTTTTGCTAGGTTACACACTGAACATCACTATTTTATTGATAACAAATTTCCCTCCAATTTCATATTATCAGTTAACAATAAACCAACAATATAATAGATACAATATAGTAAAATATATACATACATACAAATATACAATTACTGTAAAAAATTAAAAGGGCGTTTGTAGAAATGAAAATGTTAAAAGGGCTTATACCAAAAATAGTATATGTTTTTGGAGGGCGTTTATAAAATTCAAATTCTTAAAAGGGCTTAAACCACTTTTTTTTTTTAAATTTATATAACATTAAATATAAATATAGTTTAAATAATTTAATAAGACATTTTAGTTTCATGGAGTCTCATCTTTAATATAATGTATAAAAGTATGTTGTATCTTAAAAATTGAATATTTAATCAGTTTTATTTGTTTCCTGAATAAAGTAAAATTTGGTATGCTCCCTTCTAACAAAATACCAACGATATGCTCATTGCGCTCCCCCATCTTTCAAACCCTTAACATGGATCTATTTTCCTCAGTACACAAAGTTAAACAACTCAAAAACTACTCGTTAGAATTTTGATTTTGACACGTCAACATTTTTAAAAAAATTGTCGTTTAAATTATTTATAGTTGAAGAGGGGAGTTCTTATTTAAAAAAAACGGAAGTTTGTTTCACCACAAGACCCATCTCCTTAAGTAACACTTAAAATGTCAAGAATTTATAAGGTATCTAATAACTAAATTGTGGTCTTCAAGCCTATTTAAAAATTTTCAAAAATTGTTTTTAAGAACTAAAATATTATTGAAGAAAAAAGGGGTGAATGTACTTGGTGAATCGCACCGTATAAAGTATACGGTTTAATTTCTTTTCGAATTTTCCGTGAAACGATTTTCACTCGACTACCTCGAAGGCGCCGGAGGCGGCTTCCACAACGCCCGGAATCGAGGCACAAGGGCAGCTAGTATAATTATATTTTATCATTACTAATAATATGTAAAGCTCATAGTACTCTGTTTATTAGTAAACCGTAGTGATGTAAATAAATAACATTATAATATCGTGTTTTATTTTGATATTTAAACAATTCAACCAGATAATAAATTATTATACAATATTATAGTTTAATTTATAAAGTCTTAGATTTTTATCGAACTGCGTTCACAAATTATCGTTATGAAAATCTTAATATGCATAAATTACGTCCATGCAGTGGCGGGCTGGTAATGGATGACGGGATGCAATCGCATCCCGGGCCCCAACTGAGTAGGGCCTCATGCCCTATATACATTTGGAAAAATAATTTAAATAAACTGCTTAAGACTTTCTAAGCTTTCTAGTTTCTAATCGTCGTACAGTACAGTGGCGCCGAGGCCATAAGCCAAGGGAGGCGGTCGCCACCCTTCTTTTAATGGCTGGGTGGTGGTCTCAATTCAAACATAACTTAATTTTATTAATTTGTATAATAGGTAAATTGAGTTTGTATTATTTCATTTGGATTGGATTGAAGGGGTGGTGAAGGGGGGTGGTGGGTAGATACATTTTGAATTCAATTGCCCCCCCCCCCACAAAAAAAAATAGTTCGGCGTCACTGTACATAATACTATATATATGTATGACATAATATTCCAAGTAAACATTATGATAATTGATAAGTGACTATAATTTATACAAAATACGTAGGTACTATTATAATATTATGTGCCTAACATAATTATAAAGGTATAGGTTATAGTTATAGGTATAGGTATACTAGGTAAATACATAATTATTTTGATTTTTTTTGTGTTTGTTTGATGTTAGTCATAACTCATAACTGTAGAGATAGGACTTTGATGACCCTAAAACATAAACAAAAATCAAACCAAATCAACTCTAAAAAATTAATTTAAGAATCTACTATAAATAAGTGAAAACATTTTTGTTTTAAAATGATATATTGTATTAAATCTTTACTAACACAGTTTTTTTCATAGGTAATCTACTTAATGTTTAATACTTTGTATTTTATTAAAAATTAATATACCTATAATTTTTCAATATAATTCTTACATAACATATAAGATTTGACTATTTCAACTGGAAATTCAAATCTTACATTTTTTTATAAAGTTAATCTTATGTTATTTAAAGAAGTGAAATATTAACTTAATAACTTCCAATAAAGTTTCACATAGACACCAAAATAAACGA